CCAGGGCATTCCACAGCAAGTCGTTGCCAATGATTAAGATCGCATAATTATCCCCCATAACGTTAACAGCTGCTGCTTGTTGTTGCTGTAATTGTTGTGCTGATATGGGCAAAAGCGCGCGTGCTAATTCGATTGTATTTAGTGCGAACAACAACAAAGCAACGGCAGCACGCAGATTATGATACAACAATAATGTGTGGTGGATTCTGGATTAAAGAAAGAAATTTATTGAATTTATTGAAAAGGCATACATATGTATAAACATAAATCTTACTTCTTGAATTTATATTTCTTTTTTTTTGTATTTCGAAAAATCGCATGTTACAAGTTTTTTATTAAATCTTTTATGTTTCTGTTTTTTTTTTTTGCTTACAAGTTCAAAGTCAAAATCTAAGCTATAGTGCAGACCTCCTCAAATTCAGTAGACTTCCTTAAAGACAAATCTACAAATCTCATTCATAAAATAGCCAAATAAAGATAGCGAATAGAAAACCACGTATCGCATTCAACAAAGTGCTGCAAGTAGTATCAACGTACATACAAATCCATATATACGCACATACTACATTAGGGTGTTCCAAAAATACACAGGAAAAGCAACTTTTTAGAATTTTCTTACTAACACCCCCAGAATTAGAGAAAATGGAAAATAGGGACCGAATATTGTTTTCAATCGGTTAATATTTAACCGCGCCTCTGAAGATTTCCAAATAAGTACTTATTTATTTTATATGGGGCAAATACATTTTTTTGTAGAACTGCTATAAAATCGTTGGAAGTAAATATTTTTTGATCAAAAAATTTTGTCCAAAACGTGCGAACACATAAATTAAATAAGAGCTGAGATTATCGGTTATGAAAAAATAGTTAGTTTGTAAAATTTTAAAGTTAAATATGCATTTATTGTTTGAAAACTTCTGAAGGGTAATGTATATTTTTATTCGAATCAAAAATATTCATTTTTAACAGCAACTGTTATGAAAAAATGCCCCAGCGACATGATTTCAAAATGCGAGTCCCCTTGTTTTCGATATTTTTCAGTTATAGAGGCTGGCTGGAAAAAAAAGTGTGGATCACCCTAAAGTATGTAGATATTCATTAGCTCCACTTCACATAAATTCGCCGTTGTATTGTCGTCGCCAAGTGCCACTTGGCCAAAGATACACAAATCGATTTATCGGCTCGACTACACCTTACACCAATTAGTGCACCACAAATAGTGTTTGCAACAAAAACAGACGCACGCTGTAAGTGTACATAATAATAATAAAACAACAAAAGCAAACAGAAAACAACAAACAATCTAAATGCACCGCTGTTGAACGAGTAACACTTAGTGCATATGCGCCACATGCTCCATATCTACTATGTATGTATGTATGTATGTATGTAATTGTATGCAGTTTTATATGTGTGGAATGTTTGTATGTTATGTGGGATTTGCCAACTTCAATTGCCACCACACACCTGCCACAATGCATTTTCACTTGTGTACGGCAAGATGCCAAGCGACTTGTGTGGAAACCCTGTAGGAATAGGGAAACATGGTGCGCGAAGCCATCACTTTTTCTTAAAGAAAAAATTTACTACGAATTGAATACTTTTTGGAAAAAAAATTCAGCAAATGTATATGGTTTTAATACATACATACATACGTATGACGAGTATTTATATAAAATTTCTGCATGGTACCGGAATGGTACTTGGCTATAGCTGGTAAGTTTACTATTAAATTTTTTCTTTAAAAAAAGGTGCTGGTTTCACGCACCATGTTTCCATGTTGGTTAGGTGTCGCTAAAGTCGATATATCTATAAAACTGTTATGGTCAGTATATCGGTTAATTTTCAATATTTTATTTCGATATCTGAAATACCGGAAACTTTTCTTAATGCTCTCTGGGCTTTTGGATTAAAAATAAAATTTAATAGTTAAAAAATTGCCTATTTTTGTGACCATATTGTTTAATAAGGCCCAGCTTTATGTGCAAAAGGATGGGATGGGAAGGACCATATGATTTTATGTCCTGAAGCGGAAAATGGATTTGCGATATTCTGCCGGATCCATTTCCACAATAGCGACTTGCAAATATTGAACAAAAAACAATATAATTTTCTGAATGAAAGATGGCAGCAAGCAGCGTTGCCTAATTGACGATTTTGCCGTTGCACCTGACGCCAACAAGCTTTTTCTTTTAATCTAGAAGCCAATATCTCTGGAGATTCCCTAGATAGATAATTATTCTTGGGTGAAAGGTTTTGGCTTTGTAGATGCTTATTTTTCGAAATCACTATCAGAAATCCAATCAGAAGTATTGATTACAGCAAATAAAATGGCCGTTATATTCAAGACTACAAAAAAAAAATCCACACCCAATATTGGGTTATTTAACAAACCACTAACGATGTCTCGGCACCAAAAAATGTTCTTCAAATTGTTGGCCTGTACATTTTAATTAACTATATCGTTTTCGATATTTCCGATATTCAATACACCGCTATTATTTTAGTAGATACATATATCGGTATCGGATATCGTGAATATAGAATATCGCGATACCGGTAAATCGAGCTTTCATTGCCGATCTGCATCCCTAATCCGAAGAAGATTTCTTAGTATCTTGCCAAATTTCCAATTTCTTCTGGACTTAGCAACTATTAAAGAGCTTAGTCCTTTTGGAAGTGATGCATTTTTAATTTCTCTTGATTTCCATATCTTAGCCACTTAGCAACTTTTCTCTCTAAGCTAGCAAAGCCTCTACCTATAGAGGAAGGAATATTCTTAAGAAAATAAATGAAAAATGCATATTTATGAGCCGAGTCTCGAATTAATTTTGCACTTTCATAAATGTTGTATGCGGTTTTGATAAGAATTAAGAGAATAATCTTTTTCGAATACAAAAATTATTATTGGCGATCAAAAATATGGATTACTTAATTTTCACAATACCGGGAGTCAGAAAAATGCCCTATGCTTTCCCGGAAATAATTATGTATTGAATTTTAATTTGCGCTGACAATTTATTTAATAGTCCGGGACCAGTGGTTAGTTAAGTACCTAAAGAGCTTAAATTAGAGAGGATAGACTGAGTAAAATTATTTGAGGGTATAATAATATTTCACCCTTATTACCGCTTATTCGATCCTTTTCTCTACATACATTTATTCTAGAGCACAGTTCGATTAAGTCCAGAGATAATCTTGCAGCCAGTATTAGCGTCTAGTTACAAAGAACAGCAACTACATATAGCACCAAGTGAGCTCCTTTCCCAAAGAAAAAATTTGTAGTGCCTTAAAACGGGTTAGTTACTAAGATTCTCCTCTCTTCAGCTTTCTACCAGTGACATTTGCCTCAATTCGCATCCCCTAAAAAATATAGATTGATCGTACACAGCTGAATCCTACGCTGATATCCGATACACTTACGGCGTGCTTCCATTTGGATTCTGTAAGAAGGATTTTCATGGATATCCCAGTTGTCTATAGCAGAGTCTCCAAGGTTTTTAAGCGACTTTCGCATGAAGCATTGTTCGCTCCAGTGAATGTACATCGGAAATAAAAAAGAATAGCGCTAAGTAGCGGATTCGAACTTTCGATAAGTAGTCTACTCTTGCACTATTTGGTAAATGGCAGCAAATCCTGTTCCATTCGGCATTTGATCATATTTGAATTACCATCAAATCATAATCAAATCTAATGGCGCTAATTTTCCTACCGGGCAATTGTACAAACCAGTGGCAAGAGGTATGCCTCCACCAGTTAGTTTTGCCCCACTGCACATTTAGGCGTGTCTCTGCAATTGCAGCACAACTCGACGGTGTCTGCCTCTTGTCTCCTCGGTGGGCTAAACAAATGGAGCGTGGCTGCAATTGCCGATTTTTATTGATTTGAATTTTATGATTATTTGGCTAATAAAGGAAATGAGAGTAGAAGTGGTGCTTTCAAAATGCATAAGCGTATAAGTGAAAATAATATTTTCTATGGTCGACTGATTTCTTGGAAAAAAACTTTTAATTGCAGAAAACGCTATGTACACATGTATATGTTCACATAGGGACTTCCATTTAATTTGATACCCTCAAGTGGAAAATCAAAAATCGTCGAAGCGATCATTTAATGAAAGAGGTGCACACACACACACACACACACATTACTCGATGCACTTCCTGAACAAGCCATAGGCAAATCAATTACACCCAAACCAGCCAAGCAATTAAATATCACTTTCGTTTTGTATGCTGATTGAAATGCGCACACATATGTGCATACATATGTATTTTTAGACTTGTGAGTTTATGAAAAATATGCGTATGAATGTAGTGCACATTGCAATTGGCAGGCAATGCATTTATGCTTAATTGATACGAATTATGTTTGATTAAATGCCGACAAGCAAACACATTCACGTAAATAAGTGCATTAAGAGATGTTTGTACATATGTACATACAAATATATATGTGTGTACATACTTATTAAAATTCATTTCGCTCCTATGCATTTACATTCATAGATATGTACATACAAAAGCAAATAGCATTTCAGATGTGATATTTTCACTCCCTGCTGGCATTGAATTTTTCGAAATTATTTCAATGTTAAGATATTCCAATTATACTCGTGTGTTTATATTTTCTGAACGAAAACTATGAGAAAATGAACAGATTTAAGTGC